TCATTTGCGCATTATTATCCTAATGGGAAATCAATAAATAACTCATACAAAATCTCTTGAATATTCTTTCTTTTTTGTTTCTTTTCAAAACAAATATAAACAACGAATAAGTATAAGTAAAAGTTTTTAGGAATTCAAATTTTGTAAAAAATCATTTTAATTTAATAAATAACAATTTAATTTAATAAATTGACAAAAAAGCATCTATGTGTATACCAAAAAAATGCATACATACTTTCTTCTTAGCTTCAAGCATTAAAATAAAATTTACAAAATGTTTACTAAAGTTTTAGATATTTATGTTTTTTAGAAAAGAGTTAATACCTTAGTTGAATTATCCAAAATATTGAATGCTTCTGTGTTACTACCTGAATTATCACATTCATCCATCTCACTTTGCCAATTAGTCAAATTTTTTTCACATTCTTCTCTTTCTTCATCGTTCTCTTCATTAATATCATCCTTTTAAATTTACTTCAAATTATTTCGCTAATAAAAAAAAATGCTTTTGCTAAAAATGCAATTTGTAATAAAATTTTCAATCTTTGCTTTTTTATTTTTGGCTAAATTTTAAAAATAATAAAATGCATAATAAAATAATTGTACTGATTGTGATGGAAAACTATGAAGACTTTGAACAACAAATTTCACTGGATTCTTAGCATTTTTGATAACCTGAACTGCTTCTTCATGTGTAGCTTCACGCAAATCGTGATCATTTACCTAAAAATTAAAATAGTATTAAGAATAATTTTGTTATTTCAAGTTAATTTTAATTCTTCTCTTTTAATTTTTATTTATCATTAATATTTTTTACTTTTATTTACCAATATATATTTTTATTTTTGTTTATCATCATCGTTTCAGTTAATTTTACTTAATTTTACTTCTACTTCTAGTTAATTCTACTTCGTCATTGTTTTTTCTCCTTAACTTACTAAATTTAAGTTAAAATTACATTCATTTGATTTCAATTTTAATCTCCTCATCCATTTTCACCTTTTTCTCTCAATTTTAAATTCTATTTCATTTTAACCAATAATCATTATTCACTTCTGTAAATGAATTTAAATTATTTTTTTTAAAATTACTTACACTAATTACTCGATCACCCATATTCATCATATTAGAATGACCAGCTGGTGAATTTGGTAGCACTGATTTAATAAAAATACCAGAAACAGTACTCGTCGTACCAGATTGTCCACTTTTATGACTAACTTCAACACGTCCACCAACAATACTAATACCTGAAATTAATTTCTTTAAAAATTAAAAAAATCTTTCTTAAAAAAAAAGAATCGACCAATTTAATATTTTAAAAATGTTATTTGATCATTTAATCTCATATCACATAGAACATAATTAGTTAGCAGTAAAGAAAGCGGTAAAAAGTTTAGTACAAGTATTCTCACGTGTTTTATTTTTACATATATTGTAGAGCTATATGTTTTCTGGATTATACATATTCTAGAATATACGTGTTGTATCATACGTGTTCCACACTACACATATTCTAGAGTATACGTGTTGTATCATACGTGTTCCACACTACACATATTCTAGAATATACGTGTTGTATCATACGTGTTCCACACTACACATATTCTAGAGTATACGTGTCCTAAACTGTATATCCATTTTCTAGATTATACGGTATTTTTTATTTTTCTAAACTTACCGAATGACTGATTCGGTTCACGATGTAGCACAACTGTTCTTGTTTGACCCCAAATTTTGAAACGATTTGACTTCTCTGACTGTAAAAAGTGATCATTGTTAAATTTTTTTGTTCAGTAATAAAGTTTTAAAAGGAATAAAATTATCAGTAAAATCTTTTCAAAATGTTAAATGCATACTTTAGTTAAACTTTTTATGTTATTTTTTAGAAATACTAAATCGTTGAAGTAGATATACTATTGGAAGAAAATTAATAATAAATAGTCTTTCAACATTCCAACTATAAATGAATAGCTATTTTGAAATTTCATTTGCCATTATTAAAATGCAAAGAAAAGAAAAAAAAATAAATAAAAGCACCAGATTTAATTCAGATGAAACAGGTGAAATTACGGATGAATCATTCAATAAAATTGTTGCCATTGATGGATTAATTAATTCAGCGTCAATTAAACTATTTCGTTTAATTTCATTTTTGATAATTAATTGTTCATTTTCACATTCCACATTTTTGCTACCAACAGATATTTGAGTTACTGACTTTTTTTGCCACCTTAATAATGAAAATAAGTGAAAAAAAAAACACATATAATTCAAATTATTGAATATTTCAATTCCTTCCTTTTTCCCTAAAAAAAAAAATCAAAAAACAAAATTAAAAAATGTCATCAAATTAATGTATAAATGAAATTTTATAAAGATAGTAAAGAATAATAAAATTTTAATATCGTTTTCTTTTTAAAGAAATAATGAAAAAAAAAAAGATTAATGAGAGTGAATAAAATTTTCTAATAATAAAGCAAAAAGTAAACGAATACCCATCAATGCTATCATTTATCCTTCTATTCATTTCACAATTTTTCTCTTTCACTAATATCAATGAATCGTTCTTTCCATTTTTGAATTCTGTTTCATTTAAGAATGAACCGGAAATTTTATCACTAATTAATTCCTGATCCGTTTTTCCATGTAAATTTTCCAGAGAATCTTGTCGTCGTTTGAATGATGTTGACTGCCTATGAATCTAAAATATATAAAAATCTTTTTTTTTTTCAAGAATTAATGATTGACAGATAAAAAATCCTATAAAATAATGGAAACAATTCAAAATTTATTAATTGTATAAAATTTCCGATTAAATATGATTGATGGGATAAAAATTTCTATAAAATATTGGAAAGAATTCAGGATTTATTAATTCCGGAAAGTCATCGATTAAATTACAAAAAAAAAAAAGAAAAATCGGACTACTTGCGGTGCAGCACTTGTAGACGGTGTTGCTTCGATTAATTCACTCAACAACGATGATTGGAATTCCTTTCCCGACAAATTTAAATTTATCGCTTTTGGTAAATGCTCAGAAGCTAATAATTCCAGCCATATATCTTTTAAAATTGCCTAAAAATGATATTTTATTAAATTAAAATATTCAATTTTTTTTCTCAGGAATTAAAAAAAAAATAATAATCAAGAAAAGTGAAAAGTAAGCGAAAGAAAAAACTTGAAATTTAATGTAAAATTCGAAAAATCAACCATATTAATGTCATTTTTAGCATTTTTAAATTAAACATTTTTTAAAAGTTAAATATCTGTGTGTGAGGAACAAAATGAACAAAAATACTATAATTTAAAATAATTTTTAAAAAAACATACTAAAAGAATAGATAAAAAGAGGGAACAAATGATCACTTGGCTCTTACTAAAATCACTTGGCTTTTACTAAAAAATATGTAAACTAGGCCACATCACACCATCAAAACCAAATGTTAATTTTGAATTTAATCATTGCTGACAATTTGAGCATTAGAATGCTTATACTTACTGTCAATCTTCCTATTATGGCCCATGAATATAAAGTCAACAAGCCAATTAGGCCTTTAAAAAAGTAAATAATTTCATACTGTTAATAGGAAAGAGTAAACAACAAATTTTTTTTTACCTTTTTTAAAGAAAATTATGAATATATTTATACAAAATAAAAATCATTAAAACAAAAAAATAATAATAACTTATAAAAAAAAAATAGGAAATTTGTTCGTCAAAATTTATAAAGAAAAAATAATAAATAACAAATAATTTTAAAAAACAAAGAAAAAGAAATAACTGACTTGTTTTATTCAATTTTTCCTTTAAATTTATTTTTATTTTCCTAAATATATTAGCTAAACACATTCATTACTTTATTTGTAATTAAAAAATTAATTAATTGGATATTATTTATTTTACTGTTGGAGTAAGAAGAATCGTTTGAAAAAAAAATGGAAAGAAAATAGATTCGATATTATTGGACTTAATTTTTTACAAAATTGAAAATTGATTGAAATGCGGAATGAAATTAAAAAAGAAAGTAACGAAGAGTAATATTTATTAATAAATTATGCAAAAATTTAACCAAAAAAACTTAGCATCTTTCATAAATAATTTTGTTTTAGGTTAAAATTAAGAAATTCGAGTTTTATTTTTTAGTTTCAAAGAATTATTTAATTAAAGTAAGAAATTAAATGCTATTAAAAAGAACAATTTTAATTTCGCATATTATTATTTATACAATTTCTGATAAAAAACAAAAGTAAAAATGAAATTAAAATACAGATATTATTAAATTGTTTTCTAATTTTTAATAAATTATTACAGCATTAATTGATTAATTTCATAACATTTTTTAGATATTTAGAATAAAATTTATATAGCAAAACTTAATTAAATTATAACTTATTTTCATTTTTTAAAGATAAATATACCATTTTCCTATAAATAATAAAATGTAATTTGTTGAATGCACAAATTAAATTCAAATTTTCACAATTTTTTTTAGAAAAAATTAGATCGCTCAAAAATTTGCTTTTTTTAAAAAATAAATTTTCATCTCCTAACTTTCTAACAACGATAAAAATGAATGAATAATTACAATAATTACCAAAAAGAATTTTAATATGATTAATACCAATCATTGATTATTCGCTTCCAGATATCCCATATGAAAATTGTTTTCTTTTTTTTCTAATTTAAATTTATTTATAAGAGAAGAGAAAATGAAAGAGTGGAGAGAGACAGAGAGAGAGAGAGAGAGGTGAAAAAAGAGGAAATAATAGATCCTAATGTATAATAATTTTATTAAAGAAATTTCAACTCAATTATAATAACTGATATATATTTGAAATGTTATTGAAATTATACTCCAAAATTTACTGAAATTAATTCAAGAAATTATTATAAGTTTAAATATTATTGTTATTAATTATTATCATTTGTTTTATTTACTACTATTATTAATATCAAATAATTAAGTCATAAATCAAAGAAAAGAAAAAAATTATTAATTAAAATATTACCTCCACAAGATTGTAAACAAAAATTTCAATCAATTTTCCACCATTTACAATATTATCATTTAATCCTTTTTTCATCATTGATGACACATCAGATGATGCGGAAATAAGCATATCATTATCAAATGAATCATCATCTTGTTGTTGCTGTTGTTGTTGTTGTTGTTGTTGTTGTTGTTGTTCCATATCTGTCATCATCGCTTTCTCATCATAATATGAACAACGATAGAATTTTGGAAAAATTCTGAAATGAAAAATAAGTAAATAAAAAATGAACAAACAAATAAATAATAAATAATTTTTTTTCCCAAAAAAAGCTAAAAAAGAGAGGAAAAGTTCACATAAATGATTTTTTCTAATTTATATTTCTTTTCGTTTTTTTCTTCTTTTTTTCCTTCCTTCTTTTCATCTTTCTTATTTTTTTCTTTTATGCGAGACAGCAAAAAGAATCTTATTTAAACTGAAATAAACAAATAGCATTTAAACTGCGTAAACAGAAATAGCGAAAAAATTGAATTAAATTAAATTAAATTACTTTGGTGAAAGTCGATTAACAATAGGTAATTGATAATCCATTTCATGATGATACTTTTCTTTCCAAATTTTTGCATCGGAAGCAGTAATATAAGTTATACTGCAAAAAAAAAAAAATAATAATAATAATAATTAATGAAATTGGTTGAAAGGAAATAAAATACTTTTGATTATGAAAGGAATAAAACTTACTATTAAATTTTTAAGTGATTATTATTATCAGTTATTAAAAGTTAAATGATTCAACAATTATTTTGCTTATTTCTGATAAGCTAACTGATAAGAAATAACAAAATCACTTTTTTTTTTAAAAAAAAAAAATAATATCAAATGATCGTTTGTTTGTTAATTAATTATTCCTTTTGTTTGCTAATGCTTTTCATTTTATTTGTTTCTTTTCTTTAATTAAATTTGATTGAAACAATGTTACAAATTACGAACAATTTTTCTCTGTTTTTTCCCTTTTTTTTGAAGATGAAAATCGAAATATTTTGAAATAAAATACTTGATAAAATAAAATCGAAATGTTTCAAAATAAAATAATAAAATCGAAATATTTTAAAGTAAAATCAATAATAAAATAAAATCGAAATATTTAAATAAAATCGCCAATAAAATAAGATGAAAATATTTCGAGATTAAGTTGCTAATAAAATAAAGTTGAAATATTTTAAAATAAAATTGCTAATAAAATAAAACTGAAATATTTTCATAATTACTCATTAAATTTTAGTGTAGAATTATTTCTAAAGCATATGATAGAATTAATTAATATCAAAAGAAGCAAACTAATCAAAATTGTAAAAAAAAAAATTTATAAATTGTTAGTAAAATTAATCTGAAATTACTATTCATTTCATAAAATACAAATTAATGAATTTTTGATGTTTTCAAAAGTTTTCAATTACATCTTACAAGTGCTGAGAATTGTGGATAGGAATTGAAAAGAGAGAATTAAAATTTGAAAGAAGAAAAACGATAATCTGAAAATGAATGCAACAAAGAATTATATGAATTAAATCATTCCCGTTAATATTAGATATCAAATCAGTGCTAAAAAATTAAATCAATTAGAAAAAAACTTGAAACTTAAAAAGAAATGGAAATGACTAAATTAAATTAATTAGAAAAAAAAAGAAAACAAACTTGCACTGTGTACCAATTAGATTAGTTCGTTTTAAAATAGCTCGTGCTTGCGAATTCGTAACATTTCTCAAACTTTCCATATTTACTTTTACAATGTAATCATTTACCTTTAAATTAATATATCTGAAGTAGAAAGACGAAAAAAAAATGAAAATGTATTCATTTCATATTTATTTTATTCATTTTTTTTTTTTTAATAATTTGGTAATTTAATTATTTTTTTTCTTTTGAAAAAAAGAAAAATTCACAAACGTAAATTTCTTTCTTACTTTATTTAATTAATTTACATATACTAATCTAATAAATAGTCCCAATGTAACAACTGATGTGATCAAAATGAAAAATATCACCAATATTCTACAGCATATATTCTAATATAATTTATTTCAATTAATATTTTCTAGCAAAATTATTTTAGATATATTCGATTCTTTTTTTTTTTTAATTTTTATAAAAATATACCAAAATTTTCACCTGAACTCTTCCATCTCGTCCAATAGCTTTTTTGCTACAAATACTTTTTACCTGACAACCATTGATACCTTTGTCAATTTCTGCATTTAATGTAATACCTAAAAATTTATGTATACTTAATTTTCCTTCTCCTTTTCAAAACCAATAAAAAAGGCAGAAATTGTTTAATGAAAAAATTTTTGCATAATGTTTTATTTGCTTTTTCTCTCATTAATTACAATAAAATTTATTAATTTCTTTTTAATAATTTTTTTTATTAAAATTCATTAATTAAATAAAAATTTGCTAATTTATTGTTTCACTCACAAAAGAAAGAATTAAAATAGAAAATACCAAGTGAAAGTGCTCCTTTCTGAATTTTAATTGATCGTTCCAAACTTGGTGGTAAGTAGACGATATCATACGCCCATGAACCACGTAGATGAAGCGGTGAGCCACAAGGTGATATTGAACGAGTTGAGCAAGGTGACCAACTGGTCATCGATAAATGACTCTGTTTGAAATAATTATTAATTACAGTAATAGTCATAAATTAAATTATTGAGAAAATTAAGTAAAATTTAGTAAAAAAATTAAACTAATCATTTAAATTGAAAAATAAAATAAAATAAAAAGGATGTTACTAAGCAAACAAATATAATTAATTCTAAAATAATAATTAAAACAAAAAAAAATGATAGTAATGATAAAATTAACAACAACAATAATAATAATTACATCAAATAAAACAAACTATTATATTGATAAGTTGAATGAATAACATAAAATAAAATGAAGAAAAAAGAAAAGTAATTAAATACTGAAACAATTATAATAACCAACTAATAAGCAAGCAAACGAATAAGAAATTAGTTCAAAAAAAAAAGAAAAACAAGAGACAAACAAACAAAATTTCATTATTTTAATTTATGATAGGTTTAAAAGATTATCATAACAAATACTTCGTTATTTTAATTTATGATAGCTAATGAAAAATTAGCATAAAGAAACGATTTAAAAAACAAAATGAAAAAAAAAAAAAGGAAAAAGCTTACTTCGTTTAATGATATATTACAGGCACGAGGTGTTGACGGTGTAAGTGAACCGGAAGATTGATTATAATTCTGAAAAAAGAATTGAAATAAGAAAAAAATAATCGGAGAAAAAGCAAAGTAAAATAGAGGGAAGAAAAAAGTTTGAAATTAACTGTTCAAAGATTAAAAAATAGGGTGAAATTGAATTTAAGTATAAATAAATGTAATAAAACCAAAAAATAAAGAAATGAAAATAGAAAAAACGATGAGAGAGAGAAAGAGCGAGACAGAGAAATTGTAATTCAGTTTTTGTTTAAATAAAAATTTTTAGAATAAATTTAGAAAAAAAAGAAAGGGAAAAGTGGCTTTTGTGAATTTATAAAAAAATAAAAATTTTTTATTTGTAGCTTTTCTGTAATTTGACAAAAAATATATAATTTAATTTAATGATAATTATTTTCTTATAAATTTTTAAAGGATAATAATAACAATGGCAATAATAATGACAACAATCTTATTTCATAACAATTAAATGGATTAAAATAAAAAATGAAAATTCAAAAAAAGAAAAAGGAAATTAGTTATTTTTTTCTGAAAGAATAGTGAAATATATGTGTGATAATTAAGTTTTTACCAACGAGAAAATCGATGATTGTTTGTATCTTTTAAAAGGTTTTCTCTCTTTTTTTTTCATTTTTTTGCTTTTTTTTTATTTCGTAAAATCATAAATCTAAGAAGAATAAGAGAGAGAGAGAAAGAGAGAGAGAGGGAGAGAGAAAGAGAGAAAAAGGGATAGAAGGAAAATGGAGGAGAAACTGGTTCTAAAAAAACTTGATGAAAATAAAATAAAGTTTTAGAAAAACAAAGATTTAGAAGAAAAAATTTATCAAAAATGAATAAACTTAGAGAATGCAATTAAATATAAGTAATAATAAGATATTTCATTTCTAATTAATTAAATTTAAAATATAGGAGAAAAACCTGCAAATGATATTGTCGACGATATTCGGTTGCACCAAGCCAAACTGTTTCCTGACTTGATGTATACGAAACTACCTGCAATTCATTATTAAATTAATTAATTACAAAATAGTCAAATTTAGTCACAAAAAATTATTAGTAATTAAAAAAGGGGAAGAATTTTTGAAATAAACTACTTTTTCACATCAAAATATTTCAATTTCATTCAAATTATATGGATTCTTTAGTAAATTAAATTTATTAATAATTACTGATTAATTGTGTATTAAACATATATATTATGTGTATTTTAATAAATTGCATAAATATATAAGTAACGATAAAAATTTATAAAAATATAATCTAATTTTTTTGAAAGAATAAAAATTATTTATTTAAATTAAAATTTTTTACCACTTTATATCAAATGCTAAAAGAAAGGAAAAAAGCATATGTTTGAAAAAAGAAAAAAACTTTTCAAACAAAAAAATTGATTAATAGTGGCAATAATTAAGATACATATTTATGAATCATTAATCATAAGTTAATCAATTAATTAATTAGTGTAACTTTTTCGTGTGATATAAGAGTAGCATTGATTAGCAGCTAATTAAAAAACTAGTTAATTATCGATAAAATTAAAATGAATTAAGAAAAAAAAATGATTGAAATTTCATCAAACAAAATTTATTATCAGATTATTAGTATTTTGCAAAAATTTTTTTCCTTTGTTTAAATCAAAAAAGTTTTCAATAAAACTAAAAAGCGAAAAAAATTTATTCAACAAATAAAATGAAATCTATAAGAAGAAATAGAAGAAATCAATTTAAATAATCAATAATCATTGAATTGAAACATCAATTCATCATCACAAAGTGAAAAGCAATAAACGAATTTAATGAATTCGTAATAGGTTTCTCTTAAAAAAAAATTTTTTTTTTTTGTAATCAGTTTACAATTTAATTAAAAATTAAATTTGATAAAACTAATAATGTCATCATTGTTTCACTTCATCATTAATTTAAACAAGAAATGAAAATTGAAAATATTTTTTTTTATTTGTAAAAAAGGAAAAAGAAAAAATTAAATGAGAAAAAATGTAAATGAAAATATTATTTGGCATTTTCGATGTAATATTTCAATGGGTTTCTTTCTCTTTGCTTTTATTTCTTTTCTTCTTTTTTTCTACTTTTTTAAAAAAGATTTTTTTCACTTTTATTTTTCTCAAATTAATTAATGTTGAAAGAGAAAAAACTGAATGTTACAAAAAAAAAGTATTAATTATCAGTATCAAACTGTTATTTTGGGAAAAATAAATTCATTATGCGCAAAAATATCTTTCGCATTTTCATTTTATCATTTTCTTTTTACCTTTTCAGCTGAATACCTTTAGCTTGTAACCTCCTTGTAACTCTATCTTGTAACGCTATCTCTCAACCCTGTCCTGTCACTCTATCCTATAACCTTTCTCGTGACCCTATTCTGTAACCTTTCACGTGACCCTATCCTGTAACCTTTGTCGTGACCCTATCTCGTAACCCTATTCTGTAACCTTTCTCGTGACCCTATCTCGTAACTTTTCTCGTGACCCTATCCTGTAACCTTTCTCGTGACCCTATCTCGTAACTTTTCTCGTGACCCTATTCTGTAACCTTTCTCGTGACCCTATCCTGTAACCTTTCTCGTGACCCTATCTCGTAACTTTTCTCGTGACCCTATTCTGTAACCTTTCTCGTGACCCTATCCTGTAACCTTTCTCGTGACCCTATCTCGTAACTTTTCTCGTGACCCTATCCTGTAACCTTTCTCGTGACCTTATCTCGTAACCTTTCTCGTGACCCTATCCTGTAACCTTTCTCGTGACCCTATCTCGTAACTTTTCTCGTGACCCTATTCTGTAACCTTTCTCGTGACCCTATCCTGTAACCCTTCTCGTGACCCTATCTCGTAACTTTTCTCGTGACCCTATCCTGTAACCTTTCTCGTGACCCTATCTCGTAACTTTTCTCGTGATCCTCTTTCTTGCAGCCCTATCTTATGGCCCACCTTTATACCTTATCTTATATTTTAGGCTTCTTTATTGTTTCATTAAAACTAATACAATTCTCACTGCTATTGTATATAAACAAAATTATATTTCATTCGAAATTTTATTTTTGCAAAAAATTTATGTAAACAAATTTTGTTTTTTTCCATCAATTAATGAATGATAAATACATTCTTATCTCAAATTTAAACTTTAAGCTAATAAATTGAAAAATAAAAAAACTATGAAAGGATCAAAATTCAGCGAAAAGAAGATTTCCTTTTGTTCAAAGATTAAATTTTAAATCATAAATTTTAACAAATTTTACAAAAATTTTCCATTTTTTCTCTTTTTTTTTTTCTACGAAAATTGCATCTTTTCCACTATGCTTTTTAAGCTATTTGTTTTCATTTTGATATTCAATAAAACCTAAAGTAATTCTAAAATAAAATTTCTTTATTAAAAGCAAAGAGGAAAAGATAAGAGAAATGATTCATTTGAAAAAAAGAAATTTCAAAAATAAAAATTGAAAATATTACTATGAAAATATGCAAAAGCAATGCAAACATTTATCGAATTATGAAGTAGGATGAATGTTAGAAGGATTGCATTGAAATGTTATTTTAAAATTAGCATAAGACGAACAAAGAGAGAGGGGAGAGAGAGAGAGAGAGAGAAAAAAGAGAGACAAACAAAGGACAATTGTTAATGTCCTTTTTAAAAAAAAGAAAAAAACAATTGTGTCATTTTATTTTTTTCAAGAAAAAATTTATTATTTTAGGCCTAATTTTAACGTAGTAAAAACTTAGAGACTTAATTACAGTAAAAGCAAATTATTAGTAATTTGAGTTAAAACGAGACAAAATTGTTTTTTTTTTCTTTTTGAATGTAATAAGTCATATAAAAAAGATGATTATTACAAGTTAAGAAGAAATAAAATCAGAAAATTATTTTCAAAAAAAAAAAAAAATAGAATATCAATGATTTTATTATAATTACAAGAAAAAAAAGTATTTAAGTATAGCAGAAGAATTATTTGATGTGTAAAATGAAAAATTATTTTTGATTTCTTGCAAGCGCTAAGTGAAAATACTAAACTAAAATTATACTAATATTAAATTAGCACTAATAATTTTTAAAATGTTTAAAAATTATTTCAAAATATTAACTATTTTTATTTATATAGCTAAGAAAATCAATTATCGGTAAATCTTCTAACTTATTATTTTAAAAATACCTTTAGCAAATTCTTTTTTTCTTTTCTTTAGTCACTTTATTTTTTAGTTATTTAATTTATTTAATTTGTTGAATATTTATGGTAAATATATTTCATTTGCAATAACACTTATCATTACATAGACATATTTATGATAAAAGATATGATCAATGATCAAAATGAAGTTCCATTTTCAATCTAATACCTTTCATGTATTCATAAACTTATTTTATAAAAAAATATATTAAACTTCAAAAAATTTACTTAACTTAAAAAAAAAGAAATTATGCATACCATATATGAATGAAAAGAAATATTTGAATGAATTCACTGAGAGTAAAAGATTTGAAATTTAAATATAAGCTTTAAAAAGTAAAGCCTTAGCGATGCAATTTCAAAGTGTATACTTCCTGTCCCTGTCGCAGTGGCAAATCTTCAATTGCAATTAATGTCAAAATGATCGCTTTAAAGTTTTATTGCTTATCCGTGTGCATTATTCTTTGTGCTTATATTCATCTCTTCTACACCATATTATCACTCAAACAAAGCCTTTTTTAATCTTTTTCATTCATTGCTGCAATTATAAGCAAAAAAAAATTTCATAAAATTCTTTTTTTTTTTTTCAATTATATAATCAAAAAAAAAAAAAGAAAAAATTTCAAAGAAAATAAGTAATATAAATTATTTTTTGCTCTCATCGCTAATAGTTTGTGTACAAACAAACAATAAACAAATTTTGGCTAATTCAGTCTAACTTCTCTCATATATTCGTATTTTTTATAGGCAAGATTCTATCTAATTGAAGTTCAATCTAGTCGTCATTAATTAGTAAACATTTTGGTTTGTATAATCTGACCCTTATATCTTAGCATAACAGACAAGAATCTACCTAGTCCAATCTAATTCTGATATGTTAGCATAACAAGTAAGATTCTGTCTCATCGATGATATTTTTAAAATAACTTAGAAATGAAGTTGATGACAGAATCAGGTGACATCCTTCTTCTTCTCTTAAGTAACTAAGAAAATTAATGAAATATGCATTTTAATCACTTTAATAACTATAACGTGCGAAAAATGAAGTTAAAATGTTGTTGCTAGAAGTCAATTTATCAAAATTTATTTCATAAATTAATCATTTGGATAAAAAATTAATTTTTTTTTTTTTTTGAAATTAAATTGTACTAAAACAAAAAAAAAAAACGAATGAGGAAGAAATAATTGTTTGAAAAATGAAATTTTTTGCATTCTATTTTCTTTAAATAAAATAATATTAAATATATTATATCATACGTTATTAGAAAAACAATATACACATATAATATAAATAATTAACAAAATTGTTTATTTAATATTTATAAGATATGATAAGGAAAGAATTAAAATGCATAAATATTTATCCATTAAATAAAATAAATTTTCCATTTATTGCAATTTAATTAGGAAATAAATAAATGAATTAATTTGAAATTTAAATAAAAATTATATATTCATTTGCATTATTACTCTAACTTATGCTATTTCTCATTTGATTTAATTTTCATTACAGTAAAATTCTTTATAATAAAACAATTAATACTGTTATTGATAGTACTAACGCTGATATTTTAATTCATTTAATTGTTAATTTATTTCATCTTGTTAATGAATTATCTTTTTACAAAAAGAAAGAAAGAAAATTTTATTAAAAATTCATTTATATAAAAAAAAAAATGAAAAGTATTTATTAATAATAATTGATTTTATATTTTAACATAACAAAAAAAAAAAAAGAAATATAATATTAAATATTACATTCATTATTTGCAAGTTTAACAACTGAATGCAGCATGCAGCTAAACTAATTATTATTTATTATTATTAATTAAACGAAAAAAAAAAAAGGAAAAAGACGAAGCTCACTCACTTGTTTACGATGACGTCGACGTGATCGTGGCGAGCTTCCTTTTGCAAGTACACGTTCGCTGCGTGAAATAAGTGGTGAATGACCATTTGCTCCATTACCAAACTAAAAAGAAACAAAAAAAAATATTGGAAAAGCATTTTTCATTTTATTCTTTAACAAACCAAATAAGCTTTAAGTCTAAGTTAAACTAATTTTACATTAGCTATTCAGTCATCTAATACTTTCCAGTTTAAAATTCATTCTTTACTTACTCAACCAAACAGCACACACACACACACATATGCCATCTTCCAGTCGCCCTCTTCTAGTGCTTCCTCCTCTCTCTCTCTCTCTCTCTCTCTCTCTCTCTCTCTCTCTCTCTCTTTGTCTCTCCCTTCTTATATGTCATGAAAAATTGTCATCGAAAAGTGCACTACCATTTCTCATTTTTAATTAATTTCATTATTTCAAAATCTATTAAATTTGTCTCTTTTTTTTTTCCCTCAAAACTCTGTCTTTTTCTCCTCCATTCTGTTTCTTTCTTTTTTCAATATGTTTGTCTTAATTTTTTTTTTTTTGAAATTACAAGAAAACAAATTTAAAAAAAAATGAAATTTAATTTTAATAATTATCACTAATTAACAATAATTTTAAAAACTGCTGGTGAGCAAAAAAAAAAAAAAAATGAAAAAGGCTAAAAAATTTGTTTCTTTTAAAATAGACAATGAAGAAGCAGAAAAAATTTAATTAATAATACAATTACTAATTGAGATGTATTTAATCATTTATTAATTAATAAATCAAAAATCAATCAAAAAATTTTGCTTACTTTATGTATCAAAAATTCTATTTAAAATAAATCAAAATTTTAAACAATTAAAAAATTTCATTTCACTCACAAAATTTCTCATACAAATGAAAATATTTACTTTTAAATTTTATTTATTTACTTTATTAAATACAAAAAAGAAAGAAGGAAGAAAGTTGGAAATTTTTTGAAAATTTTTTGCCAAACAGATCAAAACTCTCAATTTTTAGTTTTAAATTTTACAGATTTCAAATTCCAATTTTTTATATATAATTTGAAGAAAGAAAAACAAATTTCATGTTTTATGCATCTTTTCCGGCAAAAGCTTAACAACATTTGATTATTTGATGAAAAATTGATCACAAAAATCTTGAAAGACAACTTTTTCAATAGGATTAATTCTGTATTACAAATATTTGCAGAAATTAATAAATCCTAATTTTATAATAGATTTTCGCAAATTTAATTTTCATCATTTCCGCTCCATTATTTATTTCATTCGTATTCTTTGATAACTTTTCCACTGTTAAAATTCAATCAAAATTTGTTATAAATGCTATTTCCAAAAAATTAAATACTACTAAATTGGCAAATAAATGCGAGAAAATAATGAAACATTTACGATAAATCAAGAAAATGAATAAAAAAATTTAAATAATCAATAATGTTGCATTGGATTTATGAATTTGAAAAAGTAAAATTTATGATTTGTAAGTTTCAAATATTTTACTTCTTCATGCTCATAAATTATAAAAAATTAGGTCTTCAAGCTTATAAACTTTACAAATCTTTTAGCTAATCAAAAATATTATAAATATTGAATCTTGAAATTTTTTTAACTATTTTAAAGTAACACAGATAATTGTTTTTTGAAATTCTCAAATTAGTGAACTTGAAAAGTAAGGTTAGATTTCAGTGCCCGAAAAAGTAAAGTTTAAATGAAAATAGTTTTTATTTAAATTATAATACAGAATTAATTTTAACTAATTAAAATTACTAGATATGATACAGTTATTTTAATTTTATTTACTTTTTACTCATATAAGTAATAATGATTCCAGTTTATCTGGCCTAAATATATAAACCTGAAATTTAGCTAAATGGTTTAATCTAAAGCATACAATCGTTATTTTAATTGATTAAATTATCTATATAGAAAGTTAATTTGTATATTCCGACTGTTTTTTTTCAAAAATTTTTTTAGAATTTTTTTTTTTGTGAATATAAGAAGCACCAATTTATCATTCGTAGATTAAAAGAAAAAATGATAAATATGACAAAATTTCATTTTTCGAGAATTTCATTTTATTTTTTTTTCTTTTTCTATAATTTAATATTCACTAATGCATTAGATATCACTAAGCAATTAGGAATTCATTTTCCTTTTATTTATTTATTTACTTTTTTTAAATCAAAAATGAAAGTGAAATGTACATAACATTACGATAGATTAATTATTGTGACATAATGTGACATTTTTTTTAATTTCATATATATGTTGAATTGTTTATATTTAAAATTATTTGTAAACACATATATTTTTTAAAAGAAATGAATGAAGGGTGTAAAGGGATGAAAGTATGGACACGTACGTGATGTAACGTTTCTCAGATATAATTTTTATACGTCTATCACGTATGTACAGTATAAAAGAGAAAGAATGAGAGAGAGAGAGAGAGAGAGAGAGAGAGAAAGAAAGAATATATTATTGATAAGATAAATAAAAAAAAAATATGCGTTTTTCTTTGTTATTTCTAATTCAGTAAGAGAGAAAAACTGGAAGATTTAGTTAAAAATGACTTAAATTAATTGTTTGAAAATATAATTTATAATTCAGAAAAATGTATAAAGAAAAAAAGCAAAAAAGAAAGAAAGAAAAAGATAAATCAACAAAATTTATTAAATAAATTTTTACTTCTAAAATGACACATTTCATTTTCTGTTTTCATAGATAATGAAAAATTAAATATCATAATTCATTTTAATAATATTAGCATAAATTATAATGATGTAGCATATGGATAAATAATTAAATAAATGATAAAAATAAAATAAATAGCTGATTAAAAGTTATTTTTAATTTTCAAACTTTGATTTCATTTTTCTTTGTCTTAAAAAAATATTAGAAAAAGAAAGAAAAAAAGTAACAAACTTCTTCAATTGGTATTGGCTTAGCAATACCTAACCGAACTAAGCCATCAGGTGCTGACTTCAATACAGCAACAGCGTGTTCCAATGTACTATTCGACAGATCTTCGTCATTTACAAACATTAGCCTATCACCAGGTATTATACGGCCATCTGCTTGTGCTAGGCCACCTGGTACCAGTGATCGTATGACAATTACAGATTGTCCTGGATGTAATGGATCCTGAAAAATAAATTTATTAATAATGAAAATTTTGTAAAAATTTAAAAATGGTTTTCATAAATTTTAATTATTTAAATTCTTTATATGCAGAAAGAAAAGAAAAATAGAAATTCATTCACTTATTTATTTATAATTAAAAAAAAAAAAAAAGGAAAAATGCTAATCTGATAGAAATGCTAACTTGATAATCAACAATTGAAAATCCTAGGCCACGATTATCCTTTTCCAATTGCACTATCAATGGGACACAACGCCAAATAGCCAATCCATTAAACAGTTGCAATGATCGAGAACGTAAGCGCCGTGATACCTGAAATGAATGTATTATTAGTATTTCTTTCCATTTCTGCCCTTTGTTTTTAATTCAAATACAAAGTTTTAAATAAATATGAAATGTAAATAATTATTTTATTTTTCTTTTTCTCATTATGAAATTAAAATAATTATGAATTAGTAAAAAGCTGAAAAAAAAAAGCAAAAAAATGAACAAATTCTGTGATAAAATATAAATAATATTTTCTATTGATTACTTCATGGTCACTTTTGTTTATTTAAAAATTTTTTTTAATTATTCAAAATGTTCGTCTTTCTTCTTTTTCTTTTCTGTAATTTTAAAGGTTATATTTAAAATTTTAATTTTGTAATCCAAAAAATTAAAGAAACTTATATACCTGTTCTAATACAGCTCTTGTTGAATCTAATGTTTTCGTTATGCAACTTTCTGATTTAGCCTAAAAAAAATAATGGATAAATTTTAATTAGTTTTGTCCAAACTTATAAATGATGATTTTAAGTATTATTTATCATTTTTATTCAATATATTATCAATGAAAGTTTTTACGACACACACACATCATTTTCGAAAACATATCAATTAATGTCGATGAATTTTCTGTCATAAAATTTTTAAATTTGAAGCTTTTCATAAATTAAAATGTGCGAAAAATAGAGAAATTATAAAAAAGTAAATTAATTAATTACAAATTCTTTTTCTTTTTTAAAGCAAAAAAGAGAGAAAAAAGAAAGAAAGGATGCATTGTTTAACATTATAAAAGAAAAATGAAAAACAAAATAAATCATTTCAAATAAACTAATCAATAATTACAGATGAAATATTAATTTGAAATTAACTATAGAACGTATGGGTGAAAAAAATAATTAAATAATTCAAATTAATTCAATTCATTTTATTTACAATATGATTAAATGAAGAATTGATTGAAGTTTGAATAGGAAATTATAATTTTTATAAAAAACCAAAAGGAATTGTAATTTATACAATTATACTTATTTAGGAAGAAAAAGAAAGAGATAGAGAAAGAGAGAGAGAGAGAGAGAGAGAAGAGGGAAAAATAATTAAGCTAACCTTAACAAGACGATCATCTGTTGTAGCTAATAAAGGATAAGCAATTGGAAGGCTTTCTTCAGGTCTTGGCATGAATACATTTACAGTTTGAATTTTTCGTGCTACTGTAAGCCTAACACGTTGTGAGGTGGTTGCAGCCTTAATTAAGGCTTGTGTAACAGTGACATGTGATTCACCATATAGTACTACATCATTAGCCTGTAAATAGTTTCGTGTCTCTTTTAAACAAAAACACAAATTTAATGTTTCCATTAATTTATTTAATTAAACAAAACATTTAAAAAAGATCAAAGAATTATATTTATGAAATAGAAGAATTATGAAAAAGAAAGTATTAATTAGATATGAAAAAGGTGAAAAAGCTGCTGTTTTAATGAAAAATAATTGATTTCATCTAATAAAAAGAAAAGATAAACAAATAGTCGCACCTGTAATAATTCATCACCTGAACGAAGAACATTCGAGAAAGCAGCTGGTCCACCAGGCCTAAGTGAATCAATGTAATGATGTGGACAAAGCTGGGCACCATTTAAAATGTCCACGGTACCTTCTAGCGAAATACCTAAGCCACCATCTTCACATTTATCTGGGATTAAATCAACACTGATCACTTCAAACTCACAACCAAGTCGTTGTTTCCAGTCTGCCACCACGTCACGTAACGTACTTTGTACGTCTATCACTTGCGTTATTGCTTCCTGCGTTGAAAAAAAGAAAAATGAATTATCAATCAATCAACTTATTTTAATTGTTAAATTAATAATAGATAAATGAATTGTTATTCTCTCACACAATTTAAATACAAAAAAAAAAAAAAAAAAATTGTATTATTCCTCTTAAAATTATTTCAGAAAGAAAAGAAAAGAAAGTAAACTAGCATACTTCAATATGATATAAGCATTAAAGCAATGGATTGTTTATTAGCATAAATGATGCTAATAAATTTTTTAATCTTATGAGTAGTTGAATGATAGGAACATTTCCGCCTTTTTCTTTTAATTTTTAAACTTATTTCTTTTAATAAGAATATAACAATATGATCCTAATTTGCTTATTATTATTTAGGCAAACCATTTTTAATTATTTAAATAATTAGCTAATTAATTAATCAACATATTAAAGAAACAATAAAAAATAATAATTAGAAAAAAATTACGGCCTAAAAAAATGAGTAATATAATAATTGAGTAAAAGATAAAAGTATCATTGATTACCTGTCTTTGAAGCATTGTAAGACATTCAGCTTGAGGTGAACCAGGTAGAAAACGAATTAATTTTATCTTCACTCTTGATCCACTATTTACCAGTGTTCTTATTGATTCACTATGATTTAAACCTTCCAAAGATTTACCATTTACCTATTAAAAAAAAAATGAATTCATAAGTGTTATCAGTAAAATAAATCACAATGATATTCATAACACTTATCAATAATTATTCTTTTTTTTTATGTTACAGCAACAAAAAAAGAAATTAACAAATTCAACCTAAAATTTAACAATCTGACATAGGCAACAAATACAAAATAGACTAAAAAAATTATGATAATTAGATTATCATTATTATTATCAATGCCATTATCATCATTGCCATTGGCTATCAATTAATATAATCATATAATCAATGGCCCTCAACTATAATCAAAATATAATGATTATAATTGAAAATTAATGGTTAATAAATTTTAGACTAATTATTTTCAATTTTTGATTTTTAAAATTTTTTTAACCATAATTAGTTAAGGAAAATCTAAATTTTGCATTGATTAAAATTTTCTTTTCGCCTTTTATGCGAAGAAAAGGAAGAATCATTTCAAATGATTTCATTTTAGAGAATTTTTAAAGAATGAATTTTTTGCTGAAATAAAAAAAAAAAGGGAAAAAAAACAATGTTTATTTATGCCAATAAATTTATCTTTACTAATTAGAACATGTCCAATTAAGCAAATGATAATTTATAGTCAGAGGGATGAAAAAATTAAATGCTTAATTAATTAGCTAATTAATTAATGGCGATAAAATACTATATTCAGTGATAAATTTTGAAAACAAAAACTTTTCTAACATATGTGCTTTAATAAAATAACGTAATATTTATGTAAAAAATATTATTTACATTATTTACAATTCATAACAAACAAAGAGAAAAAATTTTTCATTAAAAATTTTTGCCATAAAGAAAAATTTTTGTATACGCGAAAATAAAAAACAATACAAATTAATTGATGAACACAAAAATGATAAGATAATGATTAATCTCTATTATTCCGAAAAAAATTATCACTCAATTCTTTGCAATCTATTAAAAATGAAATTTTTAAATTAAAAGAAAAAAAAGAAAGAATAAAGATTGAATTGTTTTTTCTTAAATGTTTGTTTATAATCATTTTTTTTTCTTTTTAAATAAAGAAGAAAAAAAGGAAAAAAAATGAAAAATTTTCAAAAATTTGGGTTTGAAATGATGAAATGAATGAAAAAAAAAGACAATAAAGGAGACGAATTATAATTTTAAAAATTTTAGAAAATTGATTATATTTTTTATTTGTTTAGTTTGAGAAGAAAGAAAAAAAAACTGATCGACTTTTAACTTTTGAGCTTTATTTTTTTCTGTGAAAAGCTATGAAAAGAAAGAATTGAGGAAAAAAAAATGGAAAATGACAAGAAAGATATTTGAATATTGAAATAAAACCATGCTAGCATGTATTTTAAGGATAGAAACAAAAAAAAAAAAAATGAAATGAAGTCAAATAAAAGCTTAGATAGATGCTAATCAATCATTTTAAAAATAAAAAATAAAAAAAATAAAGGAAAAAGAGACGAAGAAAAAGATAAAAGAGAAATGAGAAAAGGAAAAAGGAATGACTAATTATTCAAGAGCTATTAAAATAAATCATAAATTACTTTTTTTCAAATGCATATATAATATAAAATAAAATGATAGAAACAAAAAATTTCTAGCATTTTTTTTTTGCTTTATTAAAAAAGTAAGTAAATAAATTTAATTAATAAATTTAAATTTGATGAAATTTTTTATCTAATATAATTGAAAATTTTTATTTCAAAAAAATTTTTTGCATAATTATTATTCATTTGTAAGAATGAGAAAACAAAATAAAAATGAATTATCAACAACTTTTATTTATTTATTTTTCAATAATATGCTGTCATCTTTTGAGAAAAAAAATAAAAATTTTCAACGGATGTGGAAAAATTATCAAATTTGCAAATTAAAATTAGTCGGAAGAAGCAATAAACAATAAACAAAAATTAATAAATGAAAAAATTTTTTGATTAAATGACCAATTTGACTGCAAATTATTTGATTACAAACAATTTTACAATCAATATTTAATTAATAATAATTTCAAAACAAAAAAAAAAAAAAAGGAATTGAATTAGATACCTCAAAAATGAGATCATTTAATTGTATCTTTCTGGAATGAAAAGCACTTGAATTAGGCACCAATGATTTGACAAAAACACCGCTTATCTCTTCTGAAATTACATATCATTACTGTACGTACTAAAAATACAAATTTTAATTGCAGAAAAAATTTAAGAATATTAAATTAAATTTAACTGATAGAATTAAAATATGTCATACATATGTGGAAAGAAAAAGAAGCAATTCAAGAAATTTGAAATTATCAGTTGTATTAAAAATTTCAATAACAAATTTCATTACATGTTTCATAAAATTTGAAAATTATTTTAGAATTTAAAAATCGAATAGCTTTCTTTTTTTGAAAAGGAAAGACCAACGAAAATTGAGAAATGAAAAATAATGAGAATTGCATGCGCATTTCGTATTAAATAAATAATCTTTTTTTTTTTTTTAATTTTCCTTTTTCGGATGATAGTTTGAAAATTTGTAAATAAATTTTAAAATGAATGAAATCGATGGTTCTTGTTTCTTTCTTAGCAAATTGTAATTTTGACGATGATATGAGACGGATGTCACAGGCGTTTTTGACAGGATGACAGCAATTAATGGTCTTTTGATTTCATAGCAATGACATGCGAAAGCAAAAAGCAAAAAAAAAAAAATAAAAGATAAAAAAATTTTTAATGTTTAAAATTGTAAATTCAAAATCTAGCGTAATTAATTAGTTTAATTGGCTTAAATAATTTTAACTTAATTAACAGCAAAAATATATCAAAAAATATTGCAGATAAAAATTAGCTAATACTTTTTTTTCTGATTTTGTAATTCAATAAATTAAAGTATTTTTAAAATTCAAAATTGAAATTTTGAATAACTGTAAGCTCCTTTAAGGTTGCTAACATTTATTATGATGACAATAATATTTTCAATAAAAAAATGCTTTAAAATTATTCATCAAATTTAGTACATTAAATGAAAAAATATTCTTTAAAGTTTCAAGGAAGAAAAAGGAAAAATTGGTTGAATTAAATCACAGATACTTATAACTCTTATAACACTTTTTTTTAAAGAAAATGAGACAAAGAACTGATCAAAGAATAAATCTTTTTAATTCGTTTTGTTCAACAATTGAGAAAAATTTTTAAAAATTTGATTTTAAATTGTTTAAAATTAAACAATAAAAATTGTAATTACATATATGCATAATTTTAAATCATTTAATTGAAATTAATTGAATTTGTTAAAATGTTCAAAAAATGAGATTCATTAGACCTTTTAATGAATGAATTGTAATATTGAGCATAATGCTATTGATAATACGATGATAGGCTTTTTTTATATAAATTAATCATAGTATTATCATATTCTAAGTAAGTCTAGACTGGACTAGGCCAGATAAGACTAGGCTAGGTTAAGTTAGACTTAGAATATACATAACAGTTAGTTTAGTCCTTTTTCATTCATTTGAAATATCCGACATCAGATTGGTTTATTTTATTTTTTTTTTTTTTTTTGAAATATTAATTTTAGGCTTGGAGAAGCATACATATATAAATATAGCATCAAAAAATGAACTTAAAAACGTTTTTTTTTTTTTACTAAAATTTGAAATGAAAGAATGAATTTTCTTTTTCTTTATTATTTCATATTTGAAAATTTTTTATTTCTTTTAATTTAACTACTTCTTATTTATAAAATTCACAAAACTGTAATATAAGCATTAATATAGGAAAAAATAATAATTATTATTAATTAAAAAGGAAAAAGAAAAGAAACTGAAATTCTACCATTAAACAAATCCAACATATTTCATTAGATTGAAACTGTTTTAGTATTTTGCATTTTTAATTGTTTGATAAATCGGAATTATCATGCAAATGTCAAATAAAAAAAACTTAATTGTATTATATTGCATATTATGCGATACAATAAGGTTCAAATTATTATCCCATACAATAAAATAAATACAACTAATCTTAAATTATTAAATGCATCATAATGAATATCGAGCAAATATATTTGATAGGAATTCATTAAATTTAAAGTTCAACTTTTTTAGTAGCTTAATAAATTATTTCAAGCAAATTCAATTATCACGTTAATCAACTTTAATTTTACTAAAATTGAAAAACAGTTCATTTTAATAAATCAAACAACATCAAATAACTTAATTACTATAAAATCTGATCTTATTTTATCCCTTTCTTCTATTTTTTTTTTTTTTTTTGTTTTAATTAAACGTTAAATTTTGACTAATTTGCATCTAAGTACAATATATTTGTTTCCAGATTATGTCTCAAATAAAATTTTATAAAACTTTCAAACTAAAAAAATTCCTTTTTCATCTTATTCACTTTATTTTATATAATATTTAATAAAATTTTAGAACATTTTATTGTACGAAATTAAAAGATTATTTAATTTTCAAAAAAAGTTGACAAAAAAAAGAAATTTCGGGGAAAAAAATTCCCGAAGAAACCTTTTTTATGAACATAACCAGCAATTGTAATTCCAAGTCCAACAATTGGATCACGGCATAATTCCACTTCAATTATTTCATACTTTTCAGGAATCCAATTTATATGTGCAAATATTGACAATGCCTAAATGATTAAAATTTGCTAAAATTAAATAAAAATTTAAAAAATTCATAAGAATGGAATAATTATTTGCATACTTCCTAATGCTTATTATTTCATAAATAAAATTTTTATAGTAATATTGAAAATAATAGGAAGTATACTAATATTATTAGTAATAATAATAATAATAGCAACAATAATTGATAATAATTGATTGAAAAATAATGCTAATAATGATAATCAATATTGCCTTGAGAATTTATATATATATTTTTAAGATTTTTTAAAAATTTATTTTAATATTTTCTGGAAATTTATTGAATGATTAATCAATAACAATTAATAACAATAAAAAGTAATTAACAATAACGACAACGATCATCGATCAATTTATCTAAAATTTGAAAAAGAAAAAAGATTGCAAAGTAACAAAAAAACATTTTAATAAAATTTTGCAATTTATTTCAGATATTTAAACATTAAAAATTAAAAACCATTTCCTGAAGTTGTCGAAGTGATCGAGTACTGTTTGTTTCTGACAAATCATTATTGTTTTTTAATGAATTATGCGTCCCTGAAGGCACTTTTGAAATCGATTCGTTTCCATCTAAATATTAAATTCTCAGAAAAAAAAAAGTTATTAATATATAAAAAAGCTTAATAGTTAAAAAATGTCAAATAATAAGAAATAAGGAAAATGAACAATCATTTAAAAAAAAAAAAATTATGCAGACGATAAGCTATCATATTTCAGTTTTTTTTTTTTATTTTTATTAAGTTTATCAAACCAATTTTAGGATTATTTGACGAATAGATTAAACTATTACAGTGATAAAATAATGTGAATGCATTTAAAATCCTTAAAATTTTAATAAAGATGAAAAAGCAAATATATTTGGAAATTTTAAAATTTTTAACAAATAGATGAAAATTTACATTAGTGACTAAATTATTAATTTTCATATAAAATTTAATTAGTGAGCAAAGATTTATTCAAAACAAACAAAAAAAAAGAACTAAATTTGAATAAGTCGGAAAAGATTTTTCCTTTTGTTAAATTTAGACAAAAACCGGAAAAAATTTCGCATCAAATACAAAACTTTTTCTTGAAATTCTGGAAATTAAATGAAGATAGTCATTGAAAATGTATGATAAAATTTTTGACTTTACAAATAGTTTAAATAAAAAAATTTATTGAAATCGAGTAATGAATAGTTTAAATTTTCGAACAATAGACTATATGCATAATTTGTCAGTTTATTCAAAAAAAAAAAAAAAAAATTAATAAATTTGATGAAATATTAATAAAATAAAATTAATTATCAATACGAACAGTTTTACATAATATATGAATAAGAAGAATATTTATTTTAATTTTTTTCAATATGCAGACACTAAGATATTATAAATTCTTTTCAAAATTTCATTCTTCTTATTTTTTAGAAGTTTGAAATCTATTTCAATTTAAATTTAATTTATGTAATAAATTAACTTATAAAATTTATAGAAATTGCACGAAAATAATGAAAAAAAAATGTTTCACATTTCAAATTGAGTAATAAAGCAATTTGCTTTTTATTTTATTATTTAATTTCGCATAATAAATATTTATTAAATTATTATATAAAAATCTCTGATTGTAAATTTGCATCAAATAATTAAATCTCCTTGCATTCCTCACCGTTTATTGCATAATTTTGTATTTCATTCGAATTTGTTGGCTCTATGATGGCAGAGACAATTTCTGATGGCCCTGGATTTCCCGCATATCCATCAAAAGATTTGTTTATTGTCGTCGGCGTTGTTGCTATTTCTGCTGCTATATCATTTATCATTATCATCATTGTTATCACTATTTTTATTACCATTATTTACTATTATTGTTATTGCTTAAATTTTTGCAGCATTTGACATCTGATATTATTATTATTACTATCATCATTATTATTGTTATTTATTATTTATTTATTCATTGATATCATTATTGTTTCAATTTCTTGCAACCTTCAATATCTGATAAGATATTTGAAGTTGTCGTCATGGAACCAGTATGTTTCCGGATTTCTTCCTCCAAACTTTCACGACACAAAGCGTCACGTGTTGGCATTGTCCAACAGCCTAAAAAATTTGGATGAAAATTTTACATAATTTTGTTGTGAAATGTGCTATTTATAGCAAAGAATTTACATATAGCTAAAATTGATTAAAGTTAAAAGTTTAACGTAAAAAATATTTTTTGTTTTGTTTATATGTTTTTATAACAAACTACGCAATTTTACGTGTAATCAATTCTGGAAGTTATTTTCATAAGAAACGATGTTTGCTTGTTTGTTTGTTTTTTTTTTTCGTTTTTTTCAATTAATTTACTGAAAATTAAAATTACAAGTTTTATTTCTTTTGAAAAGATGAAAATATTAGCATAAACAAGAAGGAATAAACAAAATTTAAAAAAAAAATAAGAAAATAAAAAGAAAAACTAAACGATAGGATATGAAAAAATATGAAATTTTTTACATAATTTCTTTAATTTATTAAAAAAGAAAGAAATCAATAAACAAACTTAAAATATTTCCAATATTTTAATGAATTATATCGACAATAATGTTAGGAAATGTTTTTCCAACATTAAAAATGCTACCACAAAAAAAAAAGAAATCAATATTTCATGAAAGGCAAATCGAAAAAGGAATTCCACTGAGGGAGTTACTCTCTTTCAGCAAATTAAATTTGGATTTCAAAACCTGCCTAAAGCATCTACGAATGAATTTATTTGTGATGAAGAAGAGACGAATGAAGAAATTTTTTGAAAATGTGAATTAAAGTGTATGTGTTGTTTTTCTTCCTTTTCTCTCTCTCTCTCTCTCTCTCTCTCAATTTTTATAATTTTTGAATTTTTAAAAAATTGAAACAAATTACACAAAAATTTTTTCAGAAATTTCACAGAAATATGCTGAAAGATTTGATATAAATTGAAAATTTCATAGTTTAGAAGAAAAATAACAAAAAGAAAAGAAAAACATAGAAGAATTTCTCATGGACTCATCAATTTTAAGATGTAATTTTTACGAAAAAAAAAAGAAAAAGGAAAAATTGATTTTATTTTGTTTTATTTTAATCCATTAATTATATATTCAAAGGAACTTTCCAGAAACAAAAACAGAAAACAAAAAAAAAAAAACGAAAAGTTTTCAAGTTTTTAAATAAATGTTTGGATCAAAACATAAATAAAAAAATTAAAAAATTCACAATACAATATTTTTAAACTTATCAACCACAGAAAAAAAAATTAGCAAACAAGAATTTTTATTTCTTTTACGAATTGTGGTAAATTGAGGAAGAAGTTTTCAATAATACAAAATGACCGTTATGAGAGAGTTAAAAAAAGAAAACCATTTTAATCATTTCAACCTCTAAAATTCCATCATTTTTCATTATGAATAGTTATTCGTTGATAATAGTGATACGATAACACTAGTGATAGTGCTACTAATGTTGATAGCAATAAAATAATAATGATAATTGTGACTGACAATGATAGGAATTTCAATAATATTGATAAGATAAGAGTTGCAATAATAGTGATAATGATAGGAAAATAAAGAGAATGAAGATTAAAATAATTATTACTGTTTCTAATCATAATCATTTATCAAAAAAGTATAACCTAATGATTAGTCATTAATATTAATTTAAAATAGTGCAGTAATTTAAATTTGGAATTTTAAGTAATTTAGTACTGTTCTTAAATTTGGAAGTTGTTTCCTAAAATTAATTTACTAATTAACTTCCAAAAAATTAATTTAAATTTACAAATGTTATAAAGAATAAGCAAAATAATAATTTTTCTTGTCACAACTTCTTTGTTTTGAATTTTAGAAAAAGAGAAGAAAGGAAAAATATTAATTTGTTTATCAATTAGTGAAATTGAAAAATTATATCATTAAAGCAGTACTTGCTATTTTTAATTTTTTCATTATTAGATGTAAAAAAATATTGCATATAAATATATATATTTATATGTAAACAATATATAAATATATGTATATTAAACAAATATGTAAAAAATATAAGAAATATCAAATGCTAATCGAAATTTGAACATTTATTACAATATTATTAGTACTGATTGTCATATTTCTATTCCTACGGACATTTTACCAGCATTTGAAATGAAAATTTTTAAATTTATTAAAATTTTTGAGATAGGAAATGAGGGATATAAGACAATCAGTACTAATAATACTGTAATATTGAAAATATCGTAGTAAAATATTCACAAAACTAATTAAATAAATAAAATCAAAAATTTTGAAAAAAAATTTTTGATTAGAATTTAGAAAGCATTTTACAATCAAAAAAAAAAAAAAAATTTAATTTTTGAAGAAATATAAAGTTTTATTAAAAAGAAGCGTATCCCTGTGTGTAACTCTTTCTCTCTCTCTGCAAGTGTGTGTGTGTGTGTGTGTGTGTGTGTGTGTGTGTGTGTGTGTGTGTGTGTGTGTGTGTGTGTGTGTGTGTGTGTGTGTGTGTGTAGTACTGAAAAAAAAAACATTTGGATGTGGCAATCCGGAAAGGAACCAAGGATGGCCAAGTCAAATATTGTTAAAAAGAAGCCAGAAATGGCCAAGTTAATTTGTTGATCTTTTAAATATAAACATACATACATACACATACAAATATACACTGATACTTTAACATATATTTCATTTCAAAATTTGTAATTTTTCAAAATAGAAATGAACAGAATTTTCATTTGGAATTAAATATGCATAACAGACTGGCAAACAACATACACACACACACACACACACACACACACACACACACACACACACACACACACACTGATGGACAGACCGACCTACAGATATAAGAAAAGCAGAAGTTAAATTCTTGAAATTAGTAGTGTGTTATTATTATTATCACCAATATTAATAATTATTAATATTATTATTACTATTATTATTATTATTATATTATTATTATTATTATTATTATTATTATTATTATTATTATTATTATTATTATTATCTATTTTTCCGCTTTTAAATGATGAAGAGAAGAAAAAAAGAAAGAAAAGAAAGAAAAATGAAAAGCAATTAATAATGAATTAATCTTAATGCATATAGCATCAAGTGATGGCATCAATTATATAATGAATTTATTATAAAAGTATTTAGTTAATAGGCGAAAACTTCAATATTTTTGCATAATAATTGTATTTCATTGAAAAAGAAATATAAAAATTTTAAAATATTAGAAAAAAAGATGAAAAATTTTTTTCAAAGAAATAAACAAATTAATTTGAAAAAGTAATAATGATTTATTAATTTGCAAATTTATTCATTCTTTTTTTTTTCTTTTTTGAGGGTGAAAAAAAATAGAAAAGAATTGATTGAATGCATTATTTGAAATAAACAAAAAAAAAAAAAAGAAAGAAAGAAAAAAAAAAAAAAAAAACGAAAACAAATACTTTTAACAAATCAATGAAATTTATCCATGCTAACAATACTAACAATTTAAAATTTTAATTTTGCTAGCAGAAAAAAAAAAAAAAGAAAATCATACTTTCAGAATTTTTATAAGAATTAGTAGAAGTAAGCGCTGGTCTTCCCACTACCAATTCAACCAGTGTGTCTTGTCGTCTAAGCAAAGTAGCAATTTGTTGTGGACTCATTCCGTGTACGTTAATACCACGTATTCTTAATATATGATCACCTGGACACAAACGTTTATCCTGAAAAAAGAAACAAAACTAAAATAAAATAAACAAAAATAATTCATTCATTTTATTTTGTTTTGTTTTTGTTTTTTTTTTTGCATTTTATTATTTATATGGATAGAAAATTTTTACAAAAAAATGTAAAAAATTTACATTTTTTTTTTTGAATGATAAAATAATGCATTTTCTAAAAAGAAAATAAAATAGAAAACAAGAAAACAAACAAAATAGTGCAAAAAAATATTCACAAAAACTTTTTCTAAAACAAAAAGATTTAGAGATAGAAATGAAAAAGGAAAAAGCGAAAATACAGGAAAACAATATTATATTATTATTTACTAAATTGTCTAATTACCAATTTAAAATGTAATTGAAGAAAAAAAATGTTTTTTTGTTCTAATTTGAATTTTTCCAACTTTTTTTTATTTGTAATTTAAAAAAAAAAAAAAAAAAAAAAAAAAAAAATTTAAATGAAAATTACTGTAAAAAAAAGTAATCGAATTAAATTTAAATGAGTACTGTAAACTGTGTTTGCTTATTTGATTTGTTGCAATTAATTTGAATTGATCAATATGGTATGACTAGATTAATTATGTAAACTGAATCAATTTGAATTTGAATGATCAATATTCAGATCAATGTAATCAATTTGAATTTGAATTAAATTTAAATGATCAATATGGTATGACTAGATGATAATTATACTGTAAACTGTAATCAATTGAATTTGAATTAAATTTAAATGATCAATATGGTATGACTAGATGATAATTATACTGTAAACTGTAATCAATTTGAATTTGAATTAAATTTAAATGATCAATATGGTATGACTAGATGATAATTATACTGTAAACTGTAATCAATTTGAATTTGAATTAAATTTAAATGATCAATATGGTATGACTAGATGATAATTATACTGTAAACTGTAATCAATTTGAATTTGAATTAAATTTAAATGATCAATATGGTATGACTAGATGATAATTATACTGTAAACTGTAATCAATTGAATTTGAATTAAATTTAAATGATCAATATGGTATGACTAGATGATAATTATACTGTAAACTGTAATCAATTGAATTTGCTTATTTCCATCACATATCTCTTTCTTCCTCTTTCTTCCCCTCTCTCTCCCTCTCTCTCTCTCTCTCCGTATTTCTTTGAACAAACCTTATCAGCAACACTTCCAGGCAAAATTGTTTTGACAACAACACCGCTTGAAGTACCACCAACAATACCAAAACCTAATCCAACGCCAGGAATATTTGGTAGGTGAATAATTTCTACCTCAGTCCAATCACTTGTCAACTGCAACATACAAAAATTTAATTCTATTTATAATTCAATTTAGAAGATAACAATTGACATTTCTACAATTAAATTAAAAGAAAGAAAAAAATTGTCAAATAATTTCCAACACTTTTTATCTTCAAAATTATTAGAATAATTTCGAGTAATTTTCAAATAGTTTTAAATGTATTTAAATTTTCAAATAATAATAAAAATATAATCCAATGTTGAGAACATTTCAGAGATGAATAATTTATTTAAAAAAGAAAGAAATGGAAATAAAATTAGCTCCAGCAACCTACATAAATCAAAAATTAATACGTTAAAATTATTATTGAAAATTTTCATTCATGAGAGTAATTTTTAAAACTTATTTAAAATATATGAAACCAAATACTCAAAAATACCAATTCAAATTAATCAATGAATAATTTATTTTAAACTGATAAATCTCTTCCTCTTAAAAAAAAAAAATTTATAACCTCTATAAATGTAAACATAAATAAAAGCACATGAAAATTTTATGTAATAATTAAATAAATTATATATAATTTTTTCATTTTTTTTATATAAAATAAAATTAGAAAAAAAAAAAAAAAAAAACGTACGACCATTTGCGGTGATTGACGCAACAATGTGACAATAATAATTGATTGTGTATAATTATTTGATTTATCACCGTACACCTTATCACTATCAAAAATTTCAATAAGTTTTTCGTATCGATCAATTATTGCTGTTGAAGAAGAGAAAGATGGTGACAACACCGCTGCAACGTTCTCACTATCAAATTTCCATATTGCATCCTGGTTAAGCATTTCACGATCATCATCATCATCATCATCGTTATTATTATTATCATTATCAGCGTTATCATCATCATTTGTTTGAGTTAAGATTAAGTTTAACGCAGTTGTTGATCTTTCATCTGCTTCATTTTGTTTTACTCTCTTATTTCTCGTCTTATTACTCGTAAACTTTGAGCAATTTAATGATGATGACTTTGATTGTTTTCGTCGTTTCTTCTTAACACTGTCATCACTGCTCTGTCTTCCTGCTAACTGATAATCCTTAGTGTTGGATGAATTTATCTTGGAACATTCATTTGATACCTAAATTTAATTAAGAAAAAAAAGATAACAAATCAATGTTATTTCATGAAAATTTTGTAGAATAATATAGAATAAATTTCACTTTACGATGCTTTTTTTCAAATTAATTAACCTATAACAAATAAATTTGATTAGTCATTTTCATATCTATAATTGATCATTTTGATTAATTATATATTATAGGTGGAATAATTGCTTACAATTAACTGAATAATATTCAAGTAATTTCTTTTCCCTTCTTTGTGCAAAAATATCAAATATAATAATTGATACTAATTTTAGATTTGTTTTTAAAATTGAAGATGAAAATTTTTTAATATTTATCTAAATATTAGCATAACGGTTGGTTATGTATCATACTCCGAGATCAAGTTTAATTAAGTTATTTAATATGCTATCATAATAATATTACTTTATTTATGAAGAAACTTTTTGATATTTGTTATTATAAGTAAAACAAAATAAGCAATGATTATAATTAATGAATCCCAAGAGCTTAACAGAAAGATGACATTATTTTGATAATTAAAGAAATATATGCAATTTCATCCACAATTTCATCCCTTTCAAAGACTAAGTTAAAAGTTGAAAAAATGTCTAAAGATGATTCTTATTTTTAGTGATACCTTCAAGAAGAAAACTGCTTAGATAGCGTTATGAATGGTTGAAATTAAACTGATAAAATAAAAAAATATACATTTAATAAGATCATGAATAATTAATTAATTAATTAGTTCTTAGTGTTTTCTTTTATGCTTTTCTTTATTTTAGCTCAATTTAAAATAAAAATTTGCTAATCTATTTGTAAAATTTTTGCGAAGTTCAATTTTTTTAAACAGTTACATCATTATATTGTGTAAAAGTAATTGAGTGAACAGGATCCGTGTGAGATTTTCCGGTTGATGATACAGAATGAAGAAGATACTGATTGAGTGCTAAAATTTGATCACCAATATGAATCCGATTACCGGACCTGTAAATTGTTGTTCAATTATTATTTCATTCGGTTAAATGATTTATTTTAATCATGTTAAATCCTTTCTAGGTATCATAATAGTAAACAAATGATAAAATGAAAAGTAAACAAAACTGTTGCATTCTGAAACATAAACAAAATTTGCAAATTTTAAAATTTAAACAAGTCTTAGAAGAAAAAAAACACAACGAAAGTTTCAGTACATTAATAATAATAATAATAATAATAATAATAAAATTACTAATTAAACAAATCAAAATAAATAAATATTAAGAAGGTAAATGAATAATTCACGAAGAGTTAAAATCAAAATATTTAAAAATAAATCTTTACAAGCAATATTAACTTATTTAGTATTAATTAGCAATGAAATCAATTTGCATACAATTTTGATACATTTTGATTATATTATTCAAAGTATATCTCGGAAAACTTGTGCAAATTTTTTCATTTATGACAATTTATGAAAACTGATTCATTTAAAATTTTTAATTGTCTAATATTATGTAAACATAATTGATAGATTTCAATAAATAACTTTTTCTTAAGGTCTCTATATTAGTTTATCATTTCAAATTACTTAATCAAGAAACAAGATATGATAACACGAAAGTGAAAATAATGCTAAAATATGAATGATATTTACTAGATTAATTATTATTGTTATTTAACTTTTATAAAATTATCATCTCATTAATATTTTATCAAAATTTCTGCATAAAAAAATTTGATAAGCTATGCAAAAAATTGTTTGCTTGTTTTAATCCCATCATTTTTGACTTTTTCATTTTTTCTTTTCTCTCTGTCAATTAAAAAAAAAAAAGAGAGAGAAAGAAGAATTTAAATTTTTGTTAAAATTTAAATAAAGTAAAAAACAAGAGAGAAAAACAAAACGAAACAAAACATAACTAGCATTGTTTTAAAAATTTATTAAATTAAATATTCAAATAAACTTTTTTATCAAATGAATATATTACCTAGACTATTTGCATTTCTTTTATCACATAATAAATAATTAATACATTATACATTTCAAATATAATTTTAATATTTTGTAATAAAAAAAAAATAAATATTAAAAAAATGGAAAAAAGGATACAAGTAAAAAAAAAAATATTTTAATATTTTCTTAGAAAATAAAACAAATATGCGTACATAAGGAAAAAAAAATATATATTGGAGCTAAAAGGCTTTAATTTAAATTAAATTGAAACTTGGCACTTTTTTAGTTCCCTTCAGTTAAGCAATATGTGTTGTTTATGCATAGGTATGTGTGACCTAAGCATGCGGCGTATCTGTGCTAGCTTATAAGGCTAACAACAATCGATCAGCACTTCATCATTAATGAAGCTATAAAAGAAATGGCAACATTTCAAATAAGCCTATTGCTTTTTATTTTGTTTATTATTAAGATTTTTGATTGAAATAGATAATTATGTAATAATGGCGCATTTGTCCAGAATTAATGATTTTTTTTTTCAATTTTAATGGCAAATTTCATTTATTAACAGTTTTATATAATAATTAATAACTTAATCTAAAGAATGTTATCTTATCTTATCTATAAGCTTATTTGTTTCAATGAAAATATATATGCAAGATTTGATACATATGTATATAAGGGTAAACTTATCAATTTTTCTTTTTCTAAACATTAATTAATTGGATCAATCGGACGAATGATCCAATGATTATTTCAGTAAATAATTATTTCTCTTATCGATAATATTAATTAAATCAATATTCTAAAAAAAAAAAAAAAAAAAAAACTTAGCTATGCATATAAGATCTATAAACAGGATAATAGCTAAGAGTATAAACGACAATTTTCTACGACTATTTATTTCAACATCCAACAGCCTTAATTACTTCCTAAACATTATAGCATTAGACAAAATATATCAAATAGAAAGAGAAAGAGGATATAAAGAGAGGGAAAGACAAATCGAGAGAGAGAGAGAGAGAGAGAGAGGAGTAGGTGATGCTAATATTTAAAGGGAATAATTCTTATTTCATTGGCAATTAAGAAATTCTTACTTTTAAAATGCATAAAAGAAAGGTTAGAATTCACCAAAATTTTAAAATTAAAATGAATCATTTAAAAAAATTCAGATAACTAAGCTTAAATTTATAATATTAGAATAAATGGTGTGTTTTATCAATGTGTTGAGCATATGTTTTATCAATAACATTTAATAAGAGTTATAATTAGGATAAGTGTTAATTAATGGGTAACAATATTCAAATTGTAATTAAAAAAATGCTTTTAATAATTACAAATTAAAATAGTTTATTTTGCATAGGAACATTTAATATTTTATATTAATTAATTTCCTAAGAAAATCAAATTACAATAATAGAAGCTTTTACATTGAAATTGAAACTTATTGTAAGCTATGAGAAGTGGATGAAATCGGACAAAATAATTACATTTTCTTATATATAGAAGGAGAGAGAAAAAAAGAAGGAAAAAGAAAAAAGCAAAGATAATGAAGAATGCTGAAAAAAAAAGTGAAATTTTAAATAAATGAAAATTTTATTACAGGAATGGAATATCTAAACGATTTTATTCTCTTTTTTTTTGCATTATTTAAATATAATTAAAACACTTTTGTTATTTACATTTCTTTTTTTTTATTATATTTATTGCATTTCTTAATTGTTTAAATTTTTTGAAAATTGAATGGTGAAATAATTCCATTACTTTATTTCATTTTTTTTTTCAAAAAAGTGATATTTGCTAATTTAGCTAATAACGGTGATGTGGAAGAAGAAAAAATAGAGTACCTATAGCAATAATAATTAAAATGTAGTAATAATTAACAATAATTAATAGTAATAGTTAATAATAATGATAATAATATTAATAATAATGCTTATAAAATTCATACTGAATACTAATAAAAAAATTCCTATTAAATATATTTCATCAATCAGTATTAAAACTTTAAAATATATATATGGATAGATAATAATAAGAAAGAAGAAAATAGTTATTCATCAAAAAAGAAAAAAAAAATCCCATCAAAAAATTTGATAATTTAGAGAAAGCAGAAGAGAGAGAAAGAGAGAGAAAAGAGAGAGAGAAAAAAAAACGAAAATTGAAATAAGAAATAATTAGAAAATAGATTTTACAAATGGTTTACCTTGGCTGCTAAATATTGATAATAAGAGAAATGCATTTGAGTTGTTTGACAATTGTCATAAGCAAGAATATTCCATCAAAATATATTTTAGCATATGGTCCAAATAATTTTTCTAGAAGAATGAATGATAGCCATAGCCTAAATATAAGTGATGGATAATAAGCTTAAGCTTATCGCTAGTTCATTCAAATGAAAATGTATATATTACATGGATTATAGTTTAAAATTAACCCATAAGACAAATTTTAATAACAATTATTCCTTTTTTGTTGTTGGATGAAAGTATATAATATCAAATTGTATTATTTTATTATTTGAATGAATTATTCAAATGATATCAAATTATAAAAAATCAATTCTATAAAACAGTAGCAATTTTTAACAAAAATTCAAAGCTTAGAATTCGACAACAATATTCTATACTATATTAATAATATTATTATCATAGCATACATGATATTATCATTGAATTGTTTTTTAATAAAAAAAATTTTATTATTTAAATTTTATAATATTGTATAGCAAATTGAACGTAGTGATAGCCAATGATAAGAAGATAAGAAGTAGAAGCATTCAGTCATTCATTATTTGTGAAACATAACTTAAACAGTGGCGCAAATTTACTTTATTAGTAATCAGTAATCACCAATAATTTCAATATGAAAAATTAGAAATACAATTAATCAACTTTTCATTTAAAGATATGATGAGAAAATTTCAATTTTTAAGTTGAAATAAAGTCTTTTCTCATGAAAAAAAATCATCGATTGAATGACAAAAACGCTATAAGCTTTTACTGAAAAAAATGAAAGGTAAAGTTTATTTATAAAAGAAATTTTTTCCAATGAAATAAAAAATTTTAATTTTGAAGTAAAGAAGAGGAGCATTTTTTTTTTTTGATATAAAAATATAAAAATAAATTTGTATATAAAAAAAAAATAAATTTAATAAATATATAGAAAAAAAATAAATATATAAAAAAATAAATTTAAAAAATTTTTTTTATGCCATAACTTTTTTAAATACCATTTTTTAAATGCAATCAATCACTTCGCGCATTTTTAAATCAACTTACTCTATAAGCAATTAATTATTCATATAATTCTAGTTTATATTTTATTGCTTAAGAAAAAAAAAAAACAATAAAAATAAAGCCAAAACACGAAAAACAAAATTCCAAAAAAGCTTCAAGTTTACTTAAGTAGCAAAAGAATGCGCTAAAAGTAAGAATGAAAACTGATGATGAGTTCAAGAGTAGATTTGAAAGCTAAATAAAATTAATTGATGGAATGTTAAAGTGAAGTTGATTTTGACAAAGCCATAATTTAATTTCATTTTAACATACGACTATTTCAGTTTACATGGATTGTATTGCTTTGCTTAAATTAAATCAAAATTTGCATCGAATAAAAATTTTAAAAAAGAGAGGAAAAAGAAAGAAATGAATTGAAATGAATGAAGAATAAAAAATAATTTATAAACGTTATTAATTAAAGAAATTTTTTCAAAAAATTCGAAAAAGAGCCTTAAAAGTATCATTTCAATGATACTTTTAATGGCTTAAATTATATCTATTTAATCTCTTTAGCCAATTATTTCTTCTAATTTAGTCAAAATATTTTGAATTGTTGAAGAATACATCATTATCATATCATATACTTACTTCGTTTTTATATCCTTTGGCCCAGCAATAATTAGTCGTTCTCCACTAGCGTCAGGTTTCACTATTAAGTGACGAATTTCTTGCGTTTCTTGTCCAACAAATATTAGCTTCTAAAAAGATTTGAGAAAAAAAAAAAAAAACATTAACTGATAAAAGCATTTATGCAATTTTTCAGGTATAAATAGGTTTTCCATTTTTTTCTGTCCTTACTGCAGCAGTCAACCATTCAATATTTTCAGTAATATCTTCATTGCTCTTTTTTTTTGCCGAATAAAGTACGCATTTTTTTTTTTTAAATTTCCCTTATACTTATAGATATCTCATGCATTCATATATACTTCCTTACATTTTCAATATTTTGATATAAAATTTATTTTGCTATGAAAAAGAAATTAAAATTTAAAATTGAAATAAAAATCATAAAAACCTCTGTTTGTTTTATACGAGGTAGCAACACACTTTCTAGATACTTGAGAAGGCTGCGAAATTTTGAATTCAATTTTAATGCATTGTCAACTGCAATACAAATCAGTGAAATATAAGTCATCATGGGAAAAATGGAATGATAAAGTGTGAGAGCTAACTTGTTGAAATGGGACAAATGCGCTTTTTTTGGAAATATCCTTTAGGGAAAAATTCTTTGTATATGAAATAATAAAATCAAAAATTCTTCACAAAGCAACTGGAAAAAAAAAGAGAAAACAAATTTAAATCTTACCTGAAATTTTCACTTTGAATAATTTATTAGATAATGATACAGTTTGACAATTTGAAGGTTTATGATCACTTTTTTCAGGAAATAAATTTGATAAATCCTGCAAAAAAAAGGAAAAAAAAATTATATTTACAAAAAGTGAAAATTAATATTCTCATCATTTCAAATATATTTTTATCATATGACAATAATTCTGATGCAATTAAATTTCCTTAAATATTTCATTTTAACATTGGAAATTTAATTTCATTTAATATCAATTTTTCAATATTACTTTATCAAACATTTCTTCCTTTAATTCTCATTTTGAATTTCTTCCCCTTTTTCCACTCCTTTTTCTCTGTTTTCATCCCTTTCAAAAACAAAACTTTTGCTGGAAGTTCCACAAAAAAGAAAAAAATCTGATCAAACATTACAGAATTGATAATTTGTGGTTCAATCTGAATGCAAATTCTATGAGAAAAATAAGCAATAATCAAACATTTGTCACTAAATGTTTATTAGACAGACCTAAAGATTAGGCATTATCACCACCACTCTCGTCATCATCATTAACACTATCATCGTAATTACTATTGTTATCACTATCATTATCGTCATGTAATTATTATCTATTACTATTTACAATATTTACTATTAGAATAATATTACCGCTATTATTATTCATTATCTTTATTATTATTATTATAATATTAGTATTATTGCTATCATTATTTTTATACTATATTATTAATACTATTATTGTTATTATTATCATTATTATTATTATCATTATTATTATGGATATCATTATTACTATTACTGTTAAAAAAAAGCTCATTATTATTGTTTTACTTTGACTTATTTTTTTCATCCGTGTATTTCAGCGTTATCACTGCATGATTAAAATGAAAATAATTGGAAAACGTCACGTCCATGTATGATATATATATTATTAAGAAAAAGTATTCAGAAATTATTTAAGAAAAGTAAATGGAAGATAATGATCTGATAATAGTCTGATAATATTTCATTTAATGTAAAACAATACGAAAAGGAATGATAAACAATAGAAAGAGGAAAAATATAATTTAATTTGATGAAATACAATAAATGAAAAATAGCCTTATAATTTTGCCGTTGAAAATTGAGATCCTGAAGGACACGTCTAAGTATACGTATATCTTCCTTCACTGCGTCGTTATTTTTACGTTGACGTAATTCTTGCAGTAACTGCCAAATACGTTCTTGATTTACACCTAAAATAAAAAAATTACTGAACGCACATTATCTAATTCATTCTTTTTTTTTCTATTATCAAGTAATCCATTAGTTTAAACAAGTAAAACAAACAAGTAATTAAAGAATGTTATTATTTTTTAAATTTAATAAATAGGAATTAAAGATTACATTAGATAGTTTTAAATTCAATAATAAAAAACACAATTTTTTTTTCCTTTCTTTGAAAAAAAAAAACAAACACAAAAAAAAAATTGCAAATGGTCAAAAAGAAAAGAAACAAAAGTGCAAAAGAATAGAAAGCAATTTAATTCTATTAAAAAAAATTAAATGAATTCGAAATAGCTTGATAAAAAAATTAAAGTTAAAAAGTAATAAAGTGTAAATAAATTTTACATATATAAAGAGAGAAAGAAAGAAAGAGGGAAGGAAGGAAGGAAGGAAGGAAGGAAGGAAAGGAAGAAGAAAAGAGAAAGGAAGAAGAAAATGAAAGAAAGGAGGAAGGAAGGTATGAATATATCAATAGTATTAAAAGGAAAGAAGGTAAAGAGAGAAGGAAATATTCTCTCTGAAGTGATGAAAACTCTTTTTCAATTATTTTCTTTGCAAGTTGGATTAGCCATCTTAACTTTATCTTTAGAGTGACCTTTAGATCGAATTACTTAAATCTTGTTAAAGTAATGGTTAGTTATCTCAATGCATTAAGAATGACCATTGAATACTAAAGTTAATTAAAATAAATACTAAAGTTAATTAAAATAAATAGTGATAGTTAGCTATAACTTTAAAAATATGATTTTTTAATTTTTCCTTTTTTTTTTCTGTTTTAAGAAGAGAAAAAAAGAGAGAGAAGGAGAAATAAGTCAAAATATATTACATAGTAATAATTTCACTATAAGTGATTACTAAAGAAGTTAGCAAATTTCGAAAAGCAATTTCATAAAATCAATTTTTTTTCGTTTTTCTTTGTGATGAAATGATTATGCGTATAACATTAACGCTTCAGTGACCTTTGTAAAAGATTGAAATGCTAAAGAATAATGTAATCTATTCATTTCTCTTACCTTTATATATTAGCATAAACCTTTGAATAAAATAAGAATGAAATTTTCTTAAATTAATAATAACTTTATTTTATGCAAAATTGATAAGAATGATTGTGATAATCGATATTTGTGTAGTGAAGATTAAAATAACTTGAAGATCTTGTGATATATGGCAAGTAAACATTGAAAATATATAATATCTTGTGGATAGTTAATTTGCAAAGAGATTAAGAATAACTGTAATATCTTATGAAAGTTGATTAGTTTGTAACGAATAAGAATAACTATGACATCATATAATACTAGGCTAATAATGATTACACAAAAATGTTAATTAGACTAGAATATGAAGACGATAAAATTAGAAACAGGCGGAAAAGTTTTCGAAATATCATTTAATTTTGTTCATAAATGTAAAGTAAAATGCCCGAATAATATCTTGGCACCTGTTGGTACTTCTTTTTTGGATGCAACATGACATGTTGAAAACATCTGTTCCGTTTAAATCTAAATGCTCAAATGAGTCATAAAATTTAAGGCCACTAAGGATCATTTCACAATTTTTATTTTATTTTATTTTAGCAACAATGCACCAAGTAATTCACTATTTTAATTACTTACTTACTACAATAACATTTGCTGTTAGTGTTAAAAACAAATGTTAGAAAATTTGTAAATATTACAACCTATGCTGTCATTAATGTCTCGAAAATTTTTCAATGAGTATTTATAAGTAGAATAATCTAAGTAATATTAAAAGAAAAAAATGGAGAAAGAAAATCAATTGGTAAGAAAAATTGAGACGACATTAAAAACAGAATAGTTTTAATTCAAATTTTAAATTTGTTAATGTAGACAACAAAACAATTACAAATAGTAAAATATTTATTATAATCAGATAGATTTATATAATGATGCTTGCTTTTACAACATTCAAAACGTTATGAATTTATTATTAATTTTCAAATCTTAATTTCAATTTTGCAATTCTCATTGATATAAACAATTGCTTATCATTATTATCAATATCTCAGATAGTGTAAAGTCGAAAAAGCAATTCTTCTTCTTGATATAGTGATGATAATAGTTAAAGCTCTAGGTATATCTAGCAAGTTAGAAGATTAATTTATGCTTTCAAAAGTTTGCAAACTTATTCCATCAAAAATTATTCCTATAAGCAGTAAGCATAATCTTTTTATATTAACAGCCATTGTTATTAATTCAAACATTTGAAATGATTTCGATAAAATATAGAAAATTCACGAAAATCATGTCAATTTCATTAATTAAAATGAGGAATTAAAACAAATTTATTCAAATCTTTTAGCCAATAAGTTATTGCTATGATATGAAAGAATATGAAACTGTCATTTCCATACTTTCATTTCTAATATTCCTGGATAAAAATAAAAAATAAAATTATCACATATTAGTTAGTTGATTAATATAATGATTAAACCATATTTACTGCAAATTTTAATTTTAACAATAGAAATCACCATCTTTAATAATATGAAAGCATTGCCAGCATCATAATCACCTAGCAACACCCACCATAACCCTTATCATTATCACCAGTAATAGTACTATCATTATTAGTAACACTATCATTCTCATTACCACCATTACCGCATCATCATCACTATTAACATTCGCATTATTGCCAATGGACCATCATCATTAACAGCTCACTAATTCATTATCACCATCATTATTATTACTATTACAGACAACTTTATCAAAATCATGATAAAATCATTGAAATCATTATCATCAATATCAGCAACAAGATCATCAACATTTTTTATCTCTACCTTCACTTATCGATCAATTCAAAAAGTAAAATTTACGTTTCACTAATAAATAAAGACATAATTCTGGATGAATATGATGATAATTTTAAAGTAAAAATTTAAAAAACACTATGAGTTATTACACAAATTATTTTTTTCGCCTTCATTATTGCAGCTAGAGAAGAAAAGTTAGTTTATAAATGCCAAACAATGTTACAGCTGTTACTCTGAATCAAATCATCATCATTTACTAATACAGACATTTCAACAGCACTTCTATATTTTCTCTCATAGCCTAAAATTTTTACTAAAAATTTATTTTAAAAAATGGAAATTCAAAATATTAAAGCTAACCAGTGTTATTATTGCATAAGTGATCATCCATTTGAATTGATGAGTCAGCACTTTCAATGTAATTCTTAACCAATTCCGAATTGAAACTCTTGAAAATAATTCGATCAATTTTAAAAATGTTGCTTAAAAATTAAATGAATATTTTTTTTTCTTAGTCCTATAAGTAATCAATCAATGAACATCTTTTTCAAAACGAATTTATCAGTTTAATAAAGACTGAAATATCAAGAAAATTTAACAGCAAAAAAAAAGAAAGAAAAGAAAAGAAGAAATGAATGAACTAGTAAAGTTCTATTCAACAGATAGCTAAAACAGAAATAAACATTAATGTGACAAAAATGTTGTCATTTAGATGCAAATATACATAAACACACACATACACACACACACATAAACGTGAAATGTCGGTGGATGGATGAAT